AAAATGGATATACAATTTGATCTTAAAATACTCGCTTTAAACAAACTCGTCTAACTCGCTTTAAGATAAAAATATAACAAAAAGATAATGAGATGCCCTAGATCATAATCTTACCTTTACATTTTATAATAGGTCATTTCACTACAATTTTAGAAATTATTATGATTGTAATCATTATTATGAACATAAAATTTAACATATTGTGCAGAGGTCAGAGGAAAAAAAGTGTCGACCTTCTCTCAATCAAACAAAAAAAATTATCGGAAAGTGCCGTTAAATAATAAAATGGAGTAACTCCAGACATAATTTACAGTTTTTTCAAAGGTTTCTGAAAAGAAAATGAATCTAAAACTATAAAAAATATCCAATACAGGCAATTTGAGCTATTTGTATGCAATTTTATTGGGTTTATGTAGCACTTATCCAGACTACTATTATATAGTATTATATACCAATATACCATATATTAATAATAATATTTATTTAGCAAACAAAACAAACAAAATAATAGTTTAATAATAAATGAGCCGGTTGCTATAGGTATTATACAATTTATAAAACGTATCTACTTTCACGTGAAGCTCTGATATTATATGAAAGTTTCATTTCAACTGTTGATCAAATATATCGCCCAAATGTTTGGTTTATCAACTCTATAATTGTACAGCTTCATTGTGAAATGAATTGGATTATAGGTTTTAATACTAGAGATAGTGATGTTTTAATTAAATTTAAAAAGGGTTGAGCAAACATTTTTATTATAATTTAATTCTAAGTTATTATTTGAGAATCATCAAATTACTTTTTCAAAAAATTATTACTGTTGTTTTAATTACTGGCTACTATGTACCTATCACCAATTATATGATTAATCCTGTGTCATCAATTTCAAAATAATACAGATTACCGAATTCTATTTTTAAATTTGACAGTTCCACGACATATATATTATACATAGTAAAGATAATAATTTTGTGCCATCGAGTGGCGTAATTAGGAATTTGCTTGTGGAGGGGGGGAGATTATATGTTTTCAGCAAAATCTGTAAGCCTCATACAGTAACCTATAACCTACCCCAACAAATATAAAATGTTGGTAGTAAAATAAAATGTTTGGGGGGTCTATCCCTCCATTCACCCCTTAATTACACACCAAGGCTTATCACAATTCACAGGTCATAACAGTTTACTCTCAATGTATGTTTCACGATATATCGTTCAATGGGTTCACTACCTTCCAAAATAATTGTTAGTGAGAATAGAAATAAGAAATAAAACTATAATAAGTCATTAGGTCTATGTAGTTAAAAGCCAATATTTATTATTTTTTAATAAATTAATGTTTATGCCTACCTCAACAGAACATTATATTTATTTTTTAATTTTCAACTGTTGTTGCGTATCGTTATTATGCACCACGCCACCATAACATAACCCTAACAATCTTATAATTGTTTTGAAGGTCGCAACGGCGATCAGTCATTGCCTGGACATCAGTGCCGTCGATATCGTCGCGACGTGCTAATTTATCAATACATAGGATAAAAACAGTCGTATACATATACAAATCATTGTTTACATAATAATATATACAACGACGTCGTTTTTGGTAATATCCATTTTGTGCCAGCACCATCGTACGCAATTTCACATTTTAATCACACATCTAGTGCTCGCGCCTTTTACGCACATGAGTGCCTGAATTCATTATTYCCGTTATTCAACATATTCACTCGTCAACTTGGGGAATGGTTGCTGTTTCCGCCGTCACCATCACTCATTCCAAACCCAATAAACCCACGCCCATTACACATACAGGTTTCGTAGGTCGGCTATACGCCGCATAGTTTGTAATTATTGTTTACGTATCATTGTGAGTTCCGCTTATTGTGATCACTGGTTTATAGAATCAACCGTTTATTAGAATTAAAAATGAAAATCCCAAACCAAATCATATATTACTAATGTTACATTGATCTTTTATTAGAATCACCAAGTACCGGATAATTGAATCACTTTTATGAACAAGCTTATCGTTTTTATGATATTTCAACCTGATTATATTCTACTTTTGATTTTAAAGGGAATACGGTTAATGGATGTAAAAAACAAATGCAAAGACTTACGATTCTGCTGGTTTGCAACATGACAGGTAGGTACGGATCAGAGGCGCCGACTTTTAGATTAGCGCGGGGGCAAACTCTTCTATTAAGTGAAAAAAATTCTATACCTAGTATGCTGTAGTTTGCTTACCGAGAGGAGTAATTACCAAATTGTCCCTTAACTCTATTTTAATATCCCTCTAGGGTTCTATAAATATATTTGTTTATAATTTATAAATAATATTATTTGAA